GACGATCGCAGGCACGTTGGCGACTTTCGCCGCAAGGCTGGTCGGCCAGACCACAGCAGTCCGATAGCTCTGCCGCCGACTCATCCGCTTGCTGTACTCCGCTAAAGCCGGACGCGTTCTAAGCAGCTTTTGGGAGAGTCCTAGTCGGTCTACTGAGGCGAGAACCGGTGCAAAGCAGACGTCCGCGATGGACGCTTCCTTCCCCGCCAGGAATACATTGTTGGGGTCCGACAGAGTCCGTTCCGCTTCGTCAAGAAGCGCCTCGAGTTGACGGAGCGACGTCGACGCCGCGTGTCCCGCCGCAATCGTTGCTTCCAGCGTTTGGTAACGCGCGAGCAAAGCGCCATACGCGCTGACGAGGTCGGGATTCCGCGCCATGCGCTCGACGCACACGCGGCGGCGGAAGCGCGTGACGGACTGCGCGGCGCCGAGAGACATCTTCGAGTAAGCGAGCGCCTCCTCGTCCCACGACGCGACGCGAGTAAGCCACGTGGCAGCTGCGTCGCGGTCAACTATCGAACCGCCCATTGGCTGGCCGATGCTGTCGAAGTACCTGCAGAGGGATCACACAGGGGAAGGATAATGTTGTGGTGGGAGCATAGCCAGTTGGACTCATGGGGGAACAGAGCCCCAATCTAACATGAAAATCTGAAAGAAAAGGTTCCGCGTCACAATCTGTACGTGCGATGCTGTCTAGGAACATTTGGTAAGATAGTGATGCGATGGGAACAGTGCTGTAAGCTGGTTACTGGTAAGGCCGCTACTAAACATTTTTCTTAGACGTCTCAAAACGCGGGGAGCGGTGCCCTCAGCTGGTAAATGGTAACGGTGCAACTGAACATGAGAACGAGAAGAGTGAAAGAAAGAGGCCAATAAACTCTAACGTGGTGGTGCTCTCTCTTGAAACTCAGATTATCACTCTCGCAGCATGTTCAGGATGGCGAAGCGTTTGAATGGCAGGTTAATTCTAAGAGTACAAACTCGAGTCACTAACCTGAGGATCTCGTTGGTGTCCGTGATTGTGTTGCTTCCGTAAACGAGCAGAGGGACTGTTCCTTGCGGATTAAGACGCAAGAACCATGGCTCGAGGTTTGCCGCTCCGACAAAGTCCACGTGGCACAGCCGGCAAGGGAGGCCCTTCTCTTCGAGCATCATGCGGACTTTGTGGCAGTCGAAGGAATCATTGCTGTAGTATAAGTCCATGGCGTATCGACTGCTACTTACGCCGTCTCCTGTACGTAGCGGGTAGCGGGATAAGACGGACGTAGAAGGCAAATGTTGCTCTAATCTCGAAGTAAACGTGTCAAAGACGACGATGTAAGACCGATGAGTTGAATTGATTAGCTTATGCTTGGAAGATGAAGTGGGACAGGGGCGACATGGGGTGATGGGGGTGAAAATTGGGGGGAGGGAATTTCAAGGGGGTGAAATGTCGAATTGTTCTAGCACCCCTTTTTGCTCAACATCGATTCATTACGATGCTACTTGACAGCCGTAGATTTCGTCAGTAATTGTCCGTTTGGGCAACGGGCGATGAGAAATGCGCGACTCGCAAAAATTGCGCATTTTATCCGTCCAGCGATTCGCCCATTTGTCCGCAGTTTATGTTCAGGCTTGAAACGGAGAATTGCTTCTCATATAATTTGATCAGCATGGATTTCTTGAAACTACAAAAGGTTCGCTTTTCGTAACGAGGCGTTCCATACTGAAATCAGGCGTGAAACAAGGCGACTGGCTCAGACATGAGTTGGCTGGCATTATGTGCTTGTCACCATTGACCAATCAGGGTTCGGACTTCTAACATGGGATATTTTTCCCCATTCAGAACTCGACACCTGCTGGCGGCAAAACCACCCGTCTCCTCTTTCAAACTATCTAACAGGTTGACATCCACGTAGGCAGGATAAAGCTGCTAGGCATCTCTCCACCCAATTAAAGAGCTTTATTGACCTCCAAAAAGATACGCTATGGAGGGGAAAGTGGCGAATCTGAGTGCGCCTTTGCTGACTGGCTTCCCCCCCACCCTGAACACCCGCGGGTTTGTTGTCCAATATCGTCCCAGCATTGAGCTGCGGCCCAGCTTCGCCTCACCATCACAACCGTAGGTTTGGACTATCCACCAAGCGGATCTGCCTCTGGGACCACCTGTGCACAACCTGCCTCGTGGCGTGGCCTGGTTGCTTGTTTCCGATCGCGCTGGACGCTTCCGATATAACTGGACCAAGCAAACGCATGCGGATGATCCACCAGTCCAAACCAAGCTGATTCCCGCTCGTTCCACTCGTTGTTGCCTCACGTGCTCCTCTCAACAAGCATGCGGCCACCTAGCCTGAGTCGACTCACCTCATCTGCTATGAGTGTGCCATCGTGGCAGTGTGCTTCTGCGTAGGGCCAATCCCAAGGCCTAATCGCTCCCTTACGTCTTGCGGACGATCTAGTGTGTGTCTGGCTTGCCGCCTAATGCTCCTCTCTCCACCAGTCCCACGCCTTTCCCCCCTGGCCAGATTATAAACCCAGGCCTTTCTGGCTTGATCACATTAGCTCAAAGTCCGACCTTCTTTTGACGCTCCATCCTGTGTTTTTGTTTCTGCTTCACGTTCGCTTCGCTGGTGCCGCTCAACCATGGATCAAAGCTCCTTAGCGCTGTCTTCATGGAAATCGAACTCGCGGGAGAATTTTGGCGATTATGTCCTCATGGTAGGTCCTAGGGGCATAAATTCGCATCTCCGGACCATTCCCGTGCTTGCAACGAACCAGACTTCGTAGCTTTCGGGCGTCGATTTTCGACTCACTTGCGATCAAATTTGCGTTTTAACGTTCATTTGGAAGAACCTGACCCCTTGCTTCTCTCTCACGCGTTCTTTCTTCTCGCTCACCCTCCCGCACAAACACGCACACGCATAAACGGTTTCATCTCGCGCCTTCCCTCACTCTCTCCACCATTCATTATGACGCACACACTCATCTCTTCTCCATTCCATGTCTGTCTCCCTCCAGGTTCAATGCCTAATAGAGCGATGCCTACTCATCGACTTGAGCCGCGACGAGTGCGTGTACACCTTAGCACGGCGGGCCAGAATCGACCCCGCTGTTACTTTAGCAGGTGAGAATTGGGATGTCCAAGCATCGGTTAGCCAACCAGTGCTCGAAATGTTGCTCTCAGGCTTCCGAGAGGACGCAGTATCACAATGTAGGTAATGTATGCAATGTGTATGCTGAGCTGAGCAATTCTAAGACCTTGTCTGTTTTGTTCTGTGCAGTGTGGAAGGGGCTTGAGAAACAAAACCCAGCATTTTTCGAGGAGTACTCGCGTCGGCCACACAACAGCGAGACTCGCAAGGCCAGACGGGCCCAGCAGGCGGCACATCAACAATTGTGCTCCGCGAAGATGCTTCAGTACCTTGACGCCTGGCAATTGCCGTACACCGAAACTTGAACGTTGGTCTCTTCCTGGAGATCCTTTACCTGATAGGTCCTGTTGGGGGCCAAGGACTTGCTGGTGCTGCCTGATGGCCAAGCTCTGCACGTCGAGGAGGCCAAGTTTATAGTTACCAAAACCCGCTGTGATAGTCCCAGCACATTGCTGGCCGACTTGCCTTCTTGGTTGATGCTGCTGTGCAACAATCCTGGCTGATCGGATCATTCATTGGCTAGGTGACCTTAGAAGGATCTAGCCTAGCTCTGTCTGGATTTGAGCTAGTTGCCCTTGTACATAATTCTTTGCTAGTCTTATTCCTAAGATCGTGTGTGCATTGGAAATGAGCGGGTGCATTTCTTCACCAGCGAGTCAAGCTCGTTGAAGTATCTCAACTTCAGTGCATTCTTTGTCAAGCCTTTTGGCCGAATTGAGACAATCCTTGGGCCAAACCAGGTACACCCTGTTTCTCGACCCTCTCACCTTGCGCGATTCGCTGCTACAGTGCGGTCAGGTGCCATAAACCGTATGGCTGAAACCTGCGGGCAAAGCCGCACCAGCTGACGGAGTGGTACTGGGGGCAAAATTTTTCTTTATCGCTGTATACCCTTTTCAACCGCTTTGAAACGCTTGGTTAATGTTCTTTACCATGCAGCATCCTAGCTAACCGCTTTCTTGTGAATGTGCTTGTACCGTCGGTGATAAGACCATTTCAAACGTGGTGACGTTCTACAACCAGTGCATGTTCTGCAACCAGATGCTCTGCTAGCGCGAAACAGGGTGTAATAACGAGGACAGATCCTGGATCCTACCAACAAGGTCAATGCATCCACTCACTATTTCAACAACCACAACCTGCCAACCAATCACATCACTTGGCGATCGTTTCGCCAACTAACGACTGTCTTCGCTTACATTGATTTTGTCCGTTGTTCGAATTCGCAACCTCCAAACTTTCGCACACATCCCCATGCCTGTCAAATTTCTGGCATGACTGTTCAACACATCCACCCAGCTGAGTTCCTTCTAGAACCTCCAAGGTTCATCTTGGCAGAATCATCTTGGCAGCCATAATCTGGCGAGGTTTGGCTAGGAAGAGTCTGACTTTAGGTTAGGAATCAGGTCGTTAGACCCCATTCTTCGATGCGTACGATTTAATATATTCGCGGAAGCAGTCATTCTCGCCATGGGGGCTTGGAAGCTTCTGGTTCCTTTCATTCTCGCGGTCGTTACAATAGCAGGCCACGCTTTTCCTGCTCTCGTCGAAGCGAAACTGCACGACCAGGCATTGACCACTTCAGATCTGACGAGCTCGCTAAACTCTAACGTTCAGGTATGGATGCACGGCCGTCAGCTAAGCGACATGCAGCCTGTTTCCGGCAAGCATAGCGTTTCCCGTCGGTTGCTCCAAGTATCTGACGAAGACGGCGACGGTTCGGGGGATTCTGGCGGGGATGGCGGAGATGTGTCGGAAGGATCGCGGAAGAAGCGAAAGGGAAAGAAGAAGAAGATAAAGGGTCGCAAGAGCAAGAAGTCGGGGAGCAAAAATTCGAGCAAGAAGGCGAAGCTTCGTCGACAGAACGCGATGCCTCGACGGTCCGAGGAACTCCAGCAGGTGATTAAGGAGGTGACGTCACAGCTTGGGGAAGACGAAGAGGGAGGGGATCGTGTCGCGCGAAGTGCGGATAGCGACGAAGAGGCCCGCGGAGGGGGACGAGAGGAGGGGAATGACGGGGGAAGCGCGGAAGCAAACGCGGAAGCAAACGCGGAGATGAATGCGGAAAGGGATGATGAAGAGACTCCTTCACGAGCGAGAGAAAGCGCGGCGGAGGAAGGGGAAGGCGGAGGGGAATCTGCGGAGGGCGCGGAACGCGCGGAAGGCGGAGAGTTGGCGGGCGACGCGGAGGATAAGCGAGAGAAGCGCGGAGAGGAGGAGGAAGAGAAGGCTGAGGCTGGGGAAGAGAAGCGCGAAAATGTAGTCCCCCCCGCGGATGACGACGAAGTGGCGGAGCGGAAGGCGGAAAAGGCGGACGCGGCTGAAGATGATGCCGGCGAGGGGGAGGGTGGGGGGAAGGCGGATAGGCAGAGGAAGGAGAGGAGTGAGGATGGTGACGAGGGAGAGGCGGAAACAGAGGGGGACGGTGAAGGGGACGGCGAGGGGCGGCGTGTGAAGAAGGAAACTCCGGAGATTCCGGAGGCAGACGATGGCCCGCGCGTGGAAAAGGAGGAGGATGACGCGGAAGGAGGCGATGATGACGTGTCGAAGCGGACGCGCGGAAAGGGAAGGGAGCGGGGGGAGGAAGAGGGTGAAGATTTGCTTGTGGATTCTGCGGGGAAGCGGGGGACTAGGGGGGGAGATGCGGAAGAAGGGGGAGATATCGACGTGGGGGAGGAGGAGGGAAAAAGGGGAAAGCGTGGTGGTGGGGACGAGGAGGATGAGAGTGGAGTGAGGGAGAAGGGAGCGAGGAAGGAGGAAGGAGAGGAGGAGGACGGAGAAGGGAGGGAGAAGGGAGGGGAGAAGGAGGAAGAGATTGGGGGAGGAGGGTGAGGGGGGGCAAGCGGAGGATCACCGAGGATGATGAGGGGAGGAAAGGGAGTGAGGAGGGAGACGAGGAGGATCGACCGCGCGCGAAGGCAGCAGGTGATGACGCGAGGGAGGAGGGCGAAGAGGGGATTAGGGTGCGAGAGAAGAAGATCGAGGAGGAGGGAGAGGGAGAGGGTGAGGGAGAGGGAGAGAGGGAGGGAGGTGATGAGGGGGAAATGGGGGTGAGGAAGAAGGGGAAGGGGAAGGATAATAAGAAGAAAAGAGCAAGAAGGAGAAGAGGAAGAAGAAGAAGGGGAGGAAGGAGAGGCTTGTGGAGGGTGGGGAGGAGCTGGGGGAGAAGGAGAAGATAGAGGGGAAGAGTGAGGAGGAGGGTGGTGGTGGGAGCGGTGGGGTGGATGAGGCGAATGACATGGAGAAATCGGAGGAGGTAAATGATGAGAATCAGGTGCAGCGAGAAGAACGGGCAGAAGCAGCGGAGCTAGATGGAAAGTTTGATGCAGCTGACGCAGCCAACACAGCCGATGCAGGCGGGGCAGGTGGGGCAGGAGAAGCAGGAGCAGCAGGAACAGCAGGAGCAGCAGGGATGGAGGAGGAAATGGCAGGAGCTGCAGTGACGCCGGGACAAGACGAGATGATTCCCGGATCAGGTGTGACTGACCGCACCAGCACCGCCAGTGGGGCTGGTACAGTTGGAGGTTCGGAAGGAGGCTCGGAGCCGATTACAGGCGCGGGGGTGGGTGGCGATGTGTTCGGGGCGGGGCGGGGGAAGGGAGGAGCGCAGGTTCGGGGAAGGGGGGAGCATGGGCGCGGGGGAAGGCGGCATGGGCGCGGGGGAAGGGGGGAACATAGTCGTGCGCGACGGGGGGGGGCATGGGTGCGGTGGTGAGTGAGGAGGAAGAATGGAGATATTGAAGCACCTGCAGGAGGATGTGGGCGGTGAGAATGAGTGAGGAGGAGCAGATGGAGCTGGAGGCAGGCGCTGTGGCGGATGCTGATGCCCACTCGTCGTACATGCAGGAGGTCATGGGGTATCAGGCCGCAACTTCAAACCGACCCTTATGGGCATGAAGGTGAGTCTGTGGTGGTGGGTGCAGTGCGGTTGAGAGGCGTGCAGGGAGGCA